CTTCGAACAGTCACTAAACAAACTGTTATAAGTCAAGGATTACATGTACCAGAAATCCCAGTCATCCTGACTAGCACCAACACATTTGATGGGTACCACCTTGGGAAAGGCCACTTTAAGCTAATATTATGGCCAAAATCAATCCAAAGTTTAGAACAGTTTTATTGGTTTTAATAAACATCTTATGGGTATTTTCATAAAAACCCACTCACAGATAAAATCTTAAAATCAATAACGAAACATTTCTAAAATGCTCAGTTTACTTCAGAACTAGGTTTGCAGGCATCCCAACATTATTACAATTTTAAAAAAATAATTTAAATTTTAAAATTTAATTTTAATTCAATTTGAAAATATGTTATCTCCAGGTGCAGATAAGAGGTTTCCTTAATTTATCAAGAAAGTAATAAGTTTTTAAGACTTGAATTTAACATCATTCACCAATAAAGTATATATCTCATAATCCCTATGACATGGATATTTCCGGATAAAGCAGAAAACTTTAGAGAAAATTTTTTTAAAAAATTATCTTCCACTTGTAAATTTCCTAATTTCTTCTCTTCTTCTGACAATTTGATTTCATTGCAGGGAGGGAGAGCCAAAACAGCTGGACAATTGCAGCACCAGGAATTCTGTATCAGGAATCACTATATACTATACTAGCTCCCCACCCTGTTTTAGAAAACAGCCATGTTCAGTTTGACCCATTGGCCCTGATTAGGATTAACAGACAGAAGTCAGACATAGTTTCTTTGCCCCATCACTACATATGCAGTTCCTGTATGGATGAGTCTCTTCATTATAATTCGTTCATAGTTCTCTTCATTGGAAGAGGAGAGCTATGAGAGTCCAAAAAAAAAAAAAAAAAACTGATGGAGATGGTATCACCTTTTCACACTTGTTGTTGTTAATTGCGAAGTCGTGTCCGACCCATCGCGACCCCATGGACAACATTCCTCCAGGTCTTCCTGTCCTCTACCATCTTCTGGAGTCCATTTAAATTCACACCTACTGCTTCAGTGACTCCATCCAGCCATCTCATTCTCTGTCGTCCCCTTCTTCTATTGCCCTCAATCTTTCCCAGCATTAGGCCCTTCTCCAGTGAGTCCTTCCTTCTCATTAGGTGGCCAAAGTATTTGAGTTTCAACTTCAGGATCTGGCCTTCTAAAGAGCAGTCGGGGTTGATCTCTTCTAGGACTGACCGGTTTGAACGCCTTGCAGTCCAAGGGACTCGCAGGAGTCTTCTCCAGCACCATAGTTCAAAGGCCTCAATTCTTTTGCGCTCAGCCTTTCTTATGGTCCAACTTTCACAGCCATACATTGCAACTGGGAAAACCATGGCCTGGACTATACGCACTTTTGTTGGCAGGGTGATGTCTCTGCTTTTTAGAATGCTGTCTAGATTTGCCATAGCTTTCCTCCCCAGGAGCAAGCGTCTTTTAATTTCTTGGCTGCAGTCCCCATCTGAGGTGATCTTGGAGCCCAGAAAAATAAAATCTGTCACTACCTCCATTTCTTCCCCATCTATTTGCCAGGAATTGAGAGGGCCGGATGCCATGATTTTGGTTTTCTTAATGTTGAGTTTCAAGCCAACTTTTGCACTCTCCTTCTTCACCCGCATCAAGAGGCTCTTTAGTTCCTCTTCACTTTCTGCCATTAGAGAGCATATCTTAGGTTGTTGATATTTCTCCCGGCAATCTTAATTCCAACTTTTGATTCATCTAGCCCTGCCTTTCTCATGATGTGCTCTGCATATAAGTTAAATAGGCAGGGCGACAGTATACAGCCTTGCCGGACTCCTTTTCCAATTTTGAACCAATTAGTGGTTCCGTGTTCGGTTCTCACTGTTGCTTCTTGACCCGCATATAGGTTTCTCAAGAGACAAATGAGATGGTCTGGTACTCCCATCTCTTTAAGAACTTGCCACAATTTGTTGTGATCCACACAATCAAAGGCTTTTGCATAGTCAATGAAGCAGAAGTAGATGTTTTTCTGGAACTCCCTAGCTTTCTCCATGATCCAGCGTATGTTGGCAATTTGATCTCTAGTTCCTCTGCCTCTTCGAAATCCTGCCTGTACTTCTGGTAGTTCTCGATCCACATACTGCTGGAGTCTAGCTTGTAGGATTTTAAGCATAACTTTACTAGCATGTGAAATGAGTGCAATGGTGCGATAGTTTGAACATTCTTTGGCATTGCCTTTCTTTGGAATTGGAATGTAAACTGACCTTTTCCAATCCTGTGGCCACTGTTGAGTTTTCCAAATTTGCTGGCAAATTGAGTGTAGCACTTTTACTGCATCGTCTTTTAAGATTTTGAATAGCTCAGCTGGAATACTGTCACCTCCACTAGCTTTGTTGTTGCTCAGATTTTCTAAGGCCCATTTCACTTCACATTCTAGGATGTCTGGTTCGAGGTCAATGACCATCTCATTGTGGTTATCTGGGATGTTAAGCTCATTCTTGTATAGTTCTTCTGTGTAGTTTTGCCATCTCTTCTTAATCTCTTCTGCCTCTGTTAGGTCTCTGCCATTTTGGTCCTTTATCATGCCCATCTTTGCATGAAACGTTCCCTTCATATCTCCAATTTTCTTGAAGAGATCTCTGGTCCTCCCTGTTCTGTTGTTTTCTTCTATTTCTTTGCACTGTTCATTTAAGAAGGCATTCTTATCTCTTCTAGCTACTCTCTGGAATTCTGCATTCAATTGGGTGTATCTTTCTCTTTCTCCTTTGCCTTTGCTTCCCTTCTTTCCTCAGCTATTTGCAAAGCTTCCTCAGACAGCCATTTTGCTTTCTTGCATTTCTTTTTCTTTGGGATGGTTTTAGTTGCTACCTCTTGTACAATGTTGCGAACTTCCATCCATAGTTCTTCAGGCACTCTGTCTATCAGATCAGTTCCTTAAATCTATTTGTCACCTCTACTGTATATTCATCAGGAATATGATTTAGTTCATACCTGAGTGGCCTAGTGCTTTTCCCTACTTTTTTCAATTTAAGCCTAAATTTTGCAACGAGAAGCTCATGATCTGAGCCACAGTCAGCTCCTGGTCTTGTTTTTACTGACTGTATAGAGCTTCTCCATCTTTGGCTGCAGAGTACATAGTCAATCTGATTTCTATGTTGACCGTCTGGTGATGTCCATGTGTAGAGCCGTCTCTTGGGTTGTTGGAAAAGAGTGTTTGTTATGACCATCGTATTCTCTTGACAAAATTCTATTAGCCTGTGCCCTGCTTCATTTTGTTCTCCAAGGCCAAACTTGCCTGTTATTCCGGTTATCTTTTGGCTTCCTACCTTAGCATTCCAATCCCCCATGATGATAAGGACATCATTTTTTGGTGTTAATTCTATAAGGTGCTGTAGGGCTTCATAGAACCGGTCAATTTCATCCTCTTCAGCACCAGTGGTTGGGGCATAGATTTGGACTATTGTGATATTGAATGGTTTGCCTTGGATTCGAATTGAGATCATTCTGTCATTTTGGGGATTGTATCCCAGTATTGCTTTTCCTATTCTTTTATTGACTATGAAGGCTACTCCATTTCTTCTGAGGGATTCTTGCCCACAGTAGTATACCTGATGGTCATCTGAGTTAAATTCACCCATTCCTGTCCATTTTAGTTCGCTGATTCCTAAGATGTCGATGTTCAGTCTTGTCATCTCTTTTTTGACTACGTCTAGCTTGCCTTGATTCATGGATCTTACATTCCAGGTTCCTATGGAGAAAAAATCTTTACAGCATCGGACTTTCCTTTCACCACCAGATATATCCACAGCTGAGCGTCCTTTCGGCTTTGGCCCAGTCGCTTCATTCTTTCTGGCGCTACTAGTACTAGCCCTCTGCTCTTCCCCAGTAGCATATTGGACACCTTCCGACCTGAGGGGCTCATCTTCCAGCGTCATATCTTTTTCCTTTTAGTACTGTCCATGGGGTTTTCATGGCAAAGATACTGGAGTGGTTTGCCATTTCCTTCTCCAGTGGATCACATTTTGTCAGAACTCTCTGCTATGACCTGTCCGTCTTGGGTGGCCCTGCACGGCATAGCTTATAGCTTCATTGAGTTACGCAAGCCCCTTCGCCACGATTTTATTGAAAGAGATCAATTTATGTAAGCTTCATTTACTTAGTGCATCTGATGAAGCTACAGCTACATTTTAAAAATGTTGTTAGTCAGGAAATATGCTACTCCTTCTTGCTGATGCAAGAAACGGCTGAAAATTGTTGTTTTGCTGCTAAATTCTGGTGTGTCAGCTTGGGGATATATTCTGTAAATGATCTCTTCCAACTGACAATTTCTTTTGCAGTTTTGGGTAAATATCTTTTCTAACCTTCAAACCATAAGGGCATGAACAAAAAATATAAAATGTTTAGAGATACCAGATATTGAATCTGAAGCCTTCAATGCATACATGTAACACTTTCTTCCTGATCTGTTAAAAAATGTATATGGAATCAGGCATTGTATGATTTGATAACCTGTTTTGTAAAAATAAAAATCTGGGAATATCACAACTCTATTTAAATGAACTGGACTGTGACTGGATGTGTCACAACTGAAGCTAAATATAGCAATAAAAGAAGATTGAAAATCTCTGCAATGAACAACAAATTCAGTACAATTTGATCATCAATTATTGACTTTATCACTAATATTTTTATACCGATTATCCATGCCCATTCAAATTTCACTTTAAATGAAATACTGAACATGAATGTTTAAGTTGTGTTTCTCTACATCTCTCAATCAGTATACCATAGAAACCTTTATTTTGTTGTGATTTTGTCTCAAATTAAGTTACTTTTCATCTCTGCATCATCATCTAGTTTTGTGACTAAAACCAAGTATATCCATTCCTTGTTACCCATCCAAAGTTTGGTATTTGGCAACCAAATCCTCACAAAAAAGAATTCACATTTAAATAAAGAAACAAACTTTGTTTACATTTAAATAAACATTGTTTACATTTATACAAACAAAACACATACATGAACTGTAGTACTTACAAAAATTGCTTGCCTGTCCATCTGACCCTAGCAGAAAAAAAAAGATTCTTGAGAAACAGGTTGATGAAAAACATGCTGATTTAATAATAAAGTGTAAGAGCTACTTTGTTTATTCAAACTATAAGCCATCTTAGTGCCAACATTCCCTTTATGATGCACTCAAATGAATGAAACCAAAATACATTAGGCAGATGACTTAAACATCCACTAGATTTTACACTAGGATGTACACCATTAATTTTCATTAGAAAGGTCATAAATATATCCTTTCAAAAGAAAACACAAAGCCCACTTATGCCATTTAAAGCCCTATAAAATCCACGCAGAACAATTATGTGACGATCAAATGGAAGAAACAATTATGAGGCAATTTCGTGATAAGATTCAAACCCTTCTGTTTATTTAATCATAATTGATTAGTTTATTAGCAGGCACTCAACATGATGTCTCTGTCAAGATTTAAGGAGATGAAACAAAATAAAGTTTTCTTCAAGCCAAGCTTGATTCCAGGTGACTTCACGAATACATCCATTAGTTTGCAATAGTGGTGAATATCTGTAGCTCTGATGTAGGATGAGGGTGATGGGTCGTTCTCCGAGTTTGTGGGTTGGTTTCTGAACATTTCCTTACTAGGCTAAGTAACATCTTCAACAGAATTTAGGGGATGACAGTGTGTTTTTCTATTTATAAGGGCTTTGGGTGTGGGTGATGAGTCAGGTATGAGTCATCAGTGAGTCTTATGATAGGTCTTGTCATTGGGAGGTCACAAGACCCATCACAACACCTTCACTCAACACACCCACACCTGAAGCCCTTATAAACAGAAGAACACTGATGCTGACATCCCCTAAACTCCACTGAAGATGTTACCTAGCCTGGTAATGAAAATGTTTGGAAACCAACCCACAAGCTCGGAGAATGAACCTTTACACACACACTCTGGATCTATTAGTTTTCTTGCAACAATGAAAGATGCTTTTTCATGTCTCACCTACAGGTCTGGTGGATCTCCCATCCAAATATTAAGATGTTTCTTAGATTCACCAAGGTCAACTATAGACAAACAGCACTAAAAACCTCATAACAATCCTAGTTGTCCTATTTAAAATTGTTTCCCATAAAAAATGGAGTAGCAGCCACTTGGTCATTAAGATCAAAGGGGATAAGGCCTATATCCCACCTGCATGTCAATCTCCTAGAGACTACTGTATTTCTACAGATATAAGTGGAACGTATAATCATTGATAATACTTCATCCAATACTTTGGAGCAGCAACCAAACATTGAATAGAGGGTGCCATTCTTCTATAAAAGCAGCTTATACCATAACAAATTTTACATTTAATTCTATCCTATTAAAGTTTCATATGCAGATTTTTACATAGTAAATCTCTTTGATGCACCTATACAGCTGCTAACTAGGAAGGAATCATTAACATATCACTGCTGGTGCAGTGGTTAGAATGCAGTACTGCAGGCTACTTCTGATAGCAGTTTGGCAGGGCTCAAAGTTGACTCAGTCTTCCATCCTTCCCAGTTCAGTAAAATGAGGACCCAGATTATAATTTCAAAAACAGGTCATAAACAACTCTGAGAAAGTCTGTTGTAACTTCAAATGGTTGTTAAATGACTGATCCTTAAGTGATGATTACCTATAACTCCTTTTTCTGTTTTCACAATGCATGTGGTATTATCCTTTCCTTCCTTCCTTCCTTCCTTTCTTTCTTTCTTTCTTTCTTTCTTTCTTTCTTTCTTTCTTTCTTTCTTTCCTTTCTTTCTTTCTTTCTTTCTTTTTTTCTTTTTTTTTTTCAAACCTAAATCTGAGCAGGAGGGCATTGAAGATGAGAGTGAATCAAATACCTCCTCCTTCTGGTTTGAGGAGAACAGAACAGAGCACCCACACAAAGTAGAAAAACAGATCAAAAGAGAGCCCAAAGAGGGAAACTAAAAATTGTGGCTAATCCAAACCTAACTGCAAATTCACTTGCAGCCTTTTTCTGAGATTTAAAAACCAACCAACCCAAACTATTCCGTTGGAAAAGGAAACTCAGAGCCTGCTTTTTAGCACACAGGGCTGTTCTCTTGTATAAAAATTGCATGTTTGCACTTTAATTAAGATCTTGCACATGGAAGGCCTCTGATGATGGGTTCCACATGTCACAGCTCATTCTGAATGAAAGATGTCACTGTTAGACGTTTCTCCTCCTGTATCCAAACTTCTCCTTAATTGAAACATCATGCTCAGAGTCAGTATGAAAACAGGCACATGTGGTTTTTAGGCAGACAGCAATATTTTCTGAATTTCCATTTCTCAAATCCCAAAGGGAAGAAACATTTTCTGCCATGATTTCAAAAGTTTGCTGTTTGTTGTGTCAGGTTGGCTTCAGCTGGATGATACCTAGGATTGCAACAGGTGCAGCTTTTCCCAATATAGAAAGAAAAACCATGATAGGAAATATTCTACCCGCTGAACTTCTCCCTAGGCACTATTACAGGTACACTGCCAAGAGAAAAAAATAGCAACTCCAACCTAGCATCTGCTGACAATGAGACAGATAAGATTTAGAGACATACAGAGATTAAATATATTGCTACATTTTCATTCTAAAGTGATTTAGATAAACTATCCAAGTTTAACTCCTATTTCTACTTGATACTACAACTTCCATTGGTATTTCAACGTCAAATCAACTGTGATGACTCTGTGATTACTTGCAGGCTGACTCTGTTCACTGCCCAGAGTTCGATCCTGACTGGCTCAAGTTTGACTCAGCCTTCCATCCTTTCGGGGTCAGTAAAATGAGAACCCAAATTGTTGGGGGCAATATGCAGACTCTGTGAACCACTTAGAATTGGCTGTAAAGCACTGTGAAGGAGTATATAAGTCTAAGTGCTATTGTTACTGTTATTAATGTCAAAGCAATAATATCCAATATCCAATGTTTCATTAGTCGGAACCTTGACAATTAACTCAATTCCTCGTAATTTCATGAGCAGGCCCTTAAAGTTTTCTTGGCAACAATATGTAGGACAAGACTATCAAATCTGGGCTGTAAAAGCTTGGGCAAAACTAGATAACAAGCTATATCTGAGTCACTTTGTTATCATCCTGTGGTCACCTAGAGTTGTAGTCTAGCTCTGGTAGCCTTTTGGGGGGGAGCAGATGTTTGAGTTTGCATTGACTCTGCAACTGTCTGGACTGCAGTTTTCTCACAAGATTTTCAGAAATGTTTGCCTTTGCCTTCTTTCTACATCTGAGAAAGGTCCAAGATCACCTAGCTGGCTTCATGCCTAAAATAGGACTAGAACTCACTGTCTCCTTGTTTCTAGCCTGTGCCTTAACCATTAATCAAACCAGTTATTTCAAGTAGCCATAGCACTAGAGAAATACGTAATAGCAATAGCACTTAGACTTATATACTGCTTCACAGTGCTTTACAGCCTTTTCTAAGCAGTTTACAGAGTCAGCATATTGCCCCCAACAATCTGAGTCCTCATTGTCATCTTTTGGAATTTTCTTGCAATCTCCAAGTCATAATCAGATGGTGTCCTTGCTTAACTTTGTGAAATCAATCATAGAGCTAGATTCTCTAAAAGGTTTAGGACCGGGCTATATGAAGGACACTTTCCTCTATATAAGCTTTCCAAGAATTGTGTCACTCTATGTCAGGCTTCCTAAACATATGCCTCCAGATATAAGTCTCATTATTGCCAAAGCTGATATGAAATCTGGGAGTTACAGTCTTAATGGCAGGATAGCAGTTTAAGAAAGAATGGAATAGATTCTGGTACACTTTGGATGAAAATCTTATATGCTTCAAGGTGACTATGCTGACATGGCACATTGCACCATATTTGTTTGCTTTCAATAGCTTAGTGTGGTATATAAATATAGTCTGTGCAATTTGTACATCATTCAAAATCTCAGGCAAACCTATCAGAGTTAATTCAGTAAATTATGTGGTTCACAATGGGTAAGCATATTGTGTAATATTTGATAGATAGGACAGAAAATCATATTAGCTTTTAATGAGAAGTTCTTATAAGAATTATGACATATCTGACTGGACTACAAATCAGGGCTGCAAAATTCCAGTTTTTGATCAATAAGTGGAAAAAAGATGCCTGAGGTTGTGCTTTGATCATTTGATTTTTTGCAGCCCTGATCCGGTGGTCCTAATATATAAGCTGATCCTTATTTTTTTATCTCTGCATGTGCTGGATCATGTCAAATGAGAGGTCATTTGTTGATAACATTGTTGGTCTTCTTAATTATATACAAGAGGCTTCAACACTTCACATGCATAATTGAGAGCTGGGAGGGTGGGGCTTGGAAATGGCCTTCTCAATAGTAGCCTGCTCAGGATGGACCCCACTCTATTAATGTTTAGGAAAGTAGAGTATTTCCACCAGGTTTTTGCTGAGGAGAACTGCAATGAGATGGAAAATCACAGGGCAGTACATTGAAATTCTGTGCCTTTTTAATCAATTTATATCTTTATTTACATGGTTATGGTTGCTACCTAAAATCTAGAGAATAGACAATATATGAATGTTTTCATAATAAACATAAAAATAATGCCAGACTGATACTCACCATACCGAACATATCCAAACTGAGAGGTACATCATGAGACTGTTGTCTAATGGGTTCATCAGCCTTGACTTCAGTGTAGAACACCTTGAGCAGAAGTTAAAGCAATAAAAATGCAAATAATTCAATACAATAAATGTATAAATATATTATATTTGTTAATAGTACTAATACCTCACCCCCCAAAAAACCCACATCCTGCTATGTTGCCTCACCTGTGGTCAGGTGATATGGTGAGTGTATGTATGTATCAACCCCATTTTGATAGCACATAATTAGTTACCAAACTTCAAATTACTGAAATATTTTCAAGAAGTCAATAGGTTTTATGAAGTTAAAGTCAATATTAAATTTATCACATCATTTAGAATGGCAACCAAAGCCCACAATGATACATTCTGTGTTTGACTCCATCAAAATGGCTGATTGGTAAAGATACAAAATGAATAAAAATAATTAAAATATAACATAACAAGTTTAGACATCTTTTACTAAGTTGTGAATAATTATCCTTCAAACGCAACAAGTATGGTAAGTTTCTACCCTCAAATAAGCAAATAGTTGTTTCTTTCATTGATATGTACACAGAAGGTTCTATTAACTATACAGTTAGCTGCTTTCAAATCATGTCTGACTCCAAGTGACTGCATGGAAAAATAGTCCTCCTCTCATCCTGTCTCCAATAACCTCTTGTGACCACCCAAGGATAGCCCTATATCACTTTGTTTACTATTCACCAACTTATTGTGCTTTTATTTCCCACCCAAATGGCATGCAGAGTCATTTTTTTCTAGTCCATCATCTGCTCATGCCACATGCCCAAAGTATGCAAGTTTATATTTGTTGATCTTTGTTCAAGGAAAGAATCAGTTTTTATTTGTTCCAAGATCAACTGAAAGGATTTTTTAAAACTTTCTAGTTTTATTTTAATAATTAGCTAAATCTTTTTTTACTTTTGGCTAATAAAGGGATATCATCTGCATATCTCAAAGGATTAGCATTTCAGCCTCTAAATTTGAGTCCAGCTGTAATTTTGTCTACTCCTACCATTCTTATAATATATTCACTATATAAATTAAACATACAAGGACTGTATGTATTCTTATCTCACTCCCTTTCTTATTCTGAACCACTTCATTATTTCCAAATTCATTTCTTACAGCAGCTCATTGTAAAGTCCCTCTGAAGAATAATCTGATGCTCTGGCATGCCAATTACCTTTAATGTATTCCACCCTCTGGCATGATCTACAATCAAAGGCCCAGTTGTGGTTAATAAAGAAAAAGGTATATCTCCTTCTTATATTTTCTTGCTCTCTCCATTATTCTTTATGTGACAGGTATCAGATCCTGTGTTCTTCTGCCTTTTGTGAATCCTACTAGTTAATTTACCATTTGTTTTTCCACGCATCAGACTTTTTTTTCTTTTTTAACAACCTTAAAAACGTTACTTGAAAGAAGAATTTTTTCACACCTCCCTTCTTCAGTTTCAGATATTCGCAGATATAATTGAGAAGAGCTCTAGACCATACAGCCTTGTTCTATATTTGTTAATCAAGAGCTGTTGGCACTTTATCTGCCATTTTAAATAATCCACACCTGGTTCTTCTCTATCAGTGAGATAAATAGATAAATTTCTCTATGAAATTCTGGGAATATTTTTTTCTGCTTTGGATTTATACTATCCAATATATTGTCTCAATGTCCTCGTATACTCTTTCCATGTAAGTTAAGCAAATTCCTTTCATAGATGTTTTTAGATCCTTCAAGTCAATTTTTGATGACACAGGTAGTCTTTTTAATATTATAATTCTAACTGATATATTTGATACCAATAATTCGTGGCCTATTCTGATTCTATGTGGTTTACAACAATCCACAAAAACATGTCTAAAAATAAAAGTACCCTTTCTCTCACCAATAGACCAAATCTCCTCCCAGTCAACCCCATCCTGGCTGAGCCAGTGCTTGGGGAAAGAGCCAGGTTTTCACATCCCTCCTGTCAGGTGCAAAAGATCAGGTCCACATGTGAAGTTCCAATTAAACTGATTTATTGCTAATCATGCCTATGCACAGCAATATTCACAACTGATGGTTAGCAACTGCTAGGAGTTAGCAACAGAATTCAAGGTGACTTGGATTTGCTTTGCTTCTGGTTACGTAGAAATTCTAGGCTTATCTCTCTTTTATCTCCACCTCCAGGTTCTGCCACTCCTTCCCTTACATCTGTAGAGAGCTAGGGATATCACTGATCTCAGGTGGAAGCTATTGCAAGGTGCTGGGGCAGCTACTTAGAAGGCATGCCTCTGAGATCTCATCACGTGGCAACTTCATTTCTATCTAGACAGGTATCCCCAGGGAAAGGTAACCTGTGTAGCCTGTGACATACAGGGCTTTTAAAGGTACCTTGAATTGCACCCTGAAAGCAACTGGAGGCCAATGCAGCTCATGCAGCAGTGGTGTTACTCAGGTGAACCATGAGGCATCCAAAACTACACATGCCACTGCATTCTGAATCAGTTTCAGCTTTCAGGTGCCTACATGTCTTCTTGCTATTACATTTAGCACCTTTTGCAATTTACTATAAAATACCTTGTCATACTTGTAGTGGTTGCAGCCCTAGATTAACCATTCAGCAAAGTATTATTAAGGCACTAGGGGAAGGGGGGGGAATTGGAATTTTCCCTCCCAGCTATCACACCCTTAACTCTTTCATTGTCACATTGGTCTTTAGTTGTTGGTTTTTTTTTTGTTTTTTTTTTGCAATTGTCCTCATCTGTGTTTGACTTTAATCTGCATTGTTTTTTAAAAAACTTTATTTTTGTCAAGGTGAATGACTAAAGTTAAAAGTTTGGTTTGAAGATGCCATCAGATATCACATTTCTTTTGGTCCCATGAGAATTTTACTGTCACTGAGGGGGCACCGTTGTTGGGTTGTGCTTAGGGCACCAGTTGGTCTTATCTAGTCTGAGCAGTTACATACTTGTCTGAAGCTGATATCCACTGAAAGCCACCTATTACAGTATATATCATCTTCTCATTTATCCAATAGAGCAATCTCCCAAAATTTGCACAAATTCATGTTCATTGCATCAATGACACTGTCTAACCAACTTATCCTCTGCTGTCCCCTTCTCCTTTTGCCTTCAGTCTTTCCCAACATCAGCTTCTTTTCCAGTGAGTCCTCTCTTCTTATTAGGTGGCCAAAATATTTGAGTTTCAGCTTCAGTATCTCTTTCCAAAGGATGGTCAGAATTAATTTCCTTTAGCGTGCCTGGCTGAGGAATTCTGGGAGTTGAAGTCCACAAGTCATAAAAGGGCCAAGTTTGAAGACCCCTGCTCCAAGTCTTCTCCAACAGCAATATCTTTTCTGAAGGTATTTTACACTAAATTGTATACCATTTTTTCTGAGACCTGCTAAAGCTAAAACAAATGAAAAATAAAGCTTTCTTCAGGTCAACTTCAACACCTGAAGCTTCCATGGACCTGCGTATTGTTGTCTTGGCAACAGTACAGAAATGGGTTGTTACTGCTTTCTTTACGGATATTTTTTCAACTTCCTGTCATCCTTATGGCCTTGGGATTCTTTAATGATCTCCATCCAAGTATTAACAAGGCCTGCATCCACTTAATTTCAAAGTCCAGGCAAGGCTATTTAGGGGTTGCCAGCAATCTCCAAAACTGAGTATATTTCCTTTTCTAGTACCAATACAGCAACTGTGAAACTAATACTTACCTTTCTCATATGCCCTTCTTTTAGAATATTTATGTAAACATTTATTCTATGACTTAAAATAATTAGTATGAATCGCAGGTGACAGCACTGAGTACCTTGTTAACTGGTTTTGTAAAGATATGTATTCTTAAAGAGGGAACACTTTGGGTGAGTGAACCAGTGAGCCCTGTGAACAGGTAGACTAGGAAGCAGAAGTTGATTTCGTAATTTATCACAAAATCCAGAGGAAAGTATTCATTTTCTTCACAACAAGGGAAGTACAGCCAGCTTCTTCTGGAAAGAAGAAAAGTAGTTCACCTCTCTTGAGCAAAATTCAACTTAGAACTTTAGATGTCTGATCTAAAGGAATCTAAGGCATGTACTACCAGGGGTGTCTATGGGATGGTTAAAAAGATGAAGAAGGTGACCAAAACCATTGGGATTTCAATTGCATGGTCAAAGCACCATCTTGACTTGTTGAGACACTCCCTCTCCTCCCAGTGGATGCTCCTGACTTTTCCCATCTGATTAAAAGTGCTTTTTAATTACCTACTTATGTCTGGCAAAAGTATCAACAGATACTTACAGTATACCCTGTGATGGTATCTGCATGCTGCTGAGGCATTCTCCATTGAATACTAAGTGCAGTGCAGTTCAAAGAATCCAGTGTTATGTCCACAGGAGGCCCCAACCTATCTGTTCCAAAAAATGACAAAGCATTAAGAAGTTGCAAAAAACAAAAACATCTTCAGTAATAGAAAGTGACTAGAGATGCACATATGGCTTTTGTTTTTTTCTATGAATAACTTCAAAGGGTCAAGCATTATAGTGTATTAAAACCACACTATGCTGTTCTATTTTCTTCTTTCTTTTATTTAAAAATAAAGGAATATCCCACCTGGATTGGAACTGCAATGTATAGGGAAGGAAGCTTAATTGCTCCTCCCCATATCCTCCTTACCCAAAGATGACCTAATTGCAACCTATACAACAGGGGGAAAATTGTGAGAACCAGTGAGAAGTGGGATAGGTGTTGATGATAGACAAATGTATGTGTTTAGGTGTCATGGGAAGAAGGTTATGATTTTGAAAAGATTCATGACCAGAGAGAGAAAGATTAAATCTTTCTTTTTCATGGATTATCATATTAACAAAATTAGAATTGCCATTCTTTTAAGAAAAAGCAATAAAAAACTGAAATATACTTTATTTATTGTATTTTTATGTCACCCAGTTCAATTGTTCAAACAACAAAAAGCACAAGAAATGCAGAATAAAAATTGGGCAACCTACTAAATCCCAGATGTCTGTTTAAACAAGACAGTTTTCACCAGCTTGTAGAAAGCTAGGAGGAAGGATACCAAACAATCTTCTGGGGGCATGGTCTATAAAGCATGGAGCCACCAACTTTGAGCTCATGTCCCCTGAATTCTTGAAGAGAAAAGTATCCCTCCCATGTCTCTATGAACAGAACAGAAAGATTCCTCCAGGAGAAGACAATACCCTAGGCCTAGGACCAATCTATGCAATGTCAAATCAGCACTTTGAATGGAGCCCAGAAATTTAATGACCACATTTGCAGTGACTGGAAAATAGATCTGATCATGTATATAACAAACTTATTTGACCATTAGTTGCAACTCTATTCCCCATTGAAGAAATCAGTGGGATCCAGTGGAAACTAAAAAATGGTCTGCTTTCTAAGAAGCAAATTCTTTGGTCGGGATTTATTCTCAAATTAGTCTTCCCTCTCCATTACAGTATAAGACCACAATGCAAAGCTAAGAGAAACAGGGTTCATTCTGTCAAAACGCTCTTTGGACTGATTTTTAAAGTTCCTCAAAAGGTACATTTATGAAGAAATGGGGAAGTGGCAGATGGGTAAGGAATGAGTACAACAATGTTCTACCACTTTATCATTCATCTGTCTCTGTATGTGCACAGAAATGAAATGAGTTATTCATCCTTGCCATGCCCCAAAGCATCAGTATGATAAGGACTATCCCGCCATCCTTGTTTAGGCCTTCTCAACATGTCTTATGAGAAAAACATAATTGTTCCAGGCCATTTCCCTGAAATGTTATCGATTCCACAGAGTTTCCAAGAATTTGCAGTTAGACAGGTCAGCTTCTTCAATAACTGTCAGTGACTGATTTTTTTTAATGCCCCCAATGTCTACTGACTTACTCCATGCAAAAAAACACCAGCACAAATGGCTTTTTAATTCAGAGACAGAACCTGTTATTTGTGAACAGTAACAGAGGTTTTAATTAACATAACTTTCACTAAAACTGCCTGGGTTCATTTATTGTACAAAGTTAAAATGCAGAGTATTTGGTTCTGGTTCAATATATTTTGTGAATCTAGCGAACTCTGGTTTATTCAGCAGAACATGGATGAGCAAGCCCTGGCTTAATGTAATCTATGCATTGCTATTTAGGCAACCATTGGAAGTGTCTTCCAGATTACAATAAAACATAAAGCCACGGTTAAAACCAAATATATTAAAAGCAACATTTAAAAAGCAACTATTAAAATCATTAACAACAGGAAAAGGACTGTTTTTCAAAAATCGTGTTTTCATAGTTAAGAAAGAGATGAATTCCTCAAGTCAATAGGGAGTACATTCCAGAGACCTGGGCCAGCTATCTAGAGGCTGAACTATGAGTGACCACAAGATGGGCTTGTAATAACAATAGGCAAATATCTACTGATGAACTCAGGGATGAGGGTAATTATACAGGTAGAAACATTCTCTCAAATACCCAGAGCATAAGCCTGTAAGACATTAAAAGTTAATAACTAGTCCTTTGCATTTCTCCCAAAATCAATTGGCAGCCAATAAACTGCAGTTAGCTTACTGCACATATAATATGATCAGTCTGAGTTTTTGCCAAACCCAACTTGTCTGATGTGTTTTGCTTCAACTGAATTTTTGGGATGATACAGAAAGTCCCATGCAATAGCCAAGTCTCAAGGTTACAAGTACAGGAACTACAGATTAAGACTAATATATATTTTCTTGGGAGGGACAAAGTTGGCTTATCAACTAAAAATAATACGGTCCTTCATCCAATCAGTTATCAATTGCAGACAGAGATATATTTTTTAAAATATATTTTATTGGTTTTTTAATTTTAACAAAGAGTACTTAAGACACACCGTGGTGTTTGGGTAAACAAACATCCCAAAATAAAAACATAACTAGCTCAACTTAATACATTCACTGTCATCTCTCTATTTCCCTCAAATAACATAGTAGATTAAATCTATTCCATTTCTAGCTTAAATTTCTATTACTACTAAACCTGTTTTAAAACTTTATCAATTTACCATTAGCATAATCAAATATTGTTTTACATCAGCAAATTATCACTTCACGTATCTCTTCCAAATATATTCAAACTCTTAATCTCTCTCGTCCCTCTTTTATCACCAATCTCCTTTCTTTCTTCTTCCAATAATAACTAACTTAGTTTTAAAAAAACAATGTTACACCTTAATTCATTTCAATTCATTACACAAACTTCAAATTCCATCCAATTAATTATCATAGCTTATCAAATCATATTATTATACACAAAAATCGCAGACAGAGATATTTTAGAGGAGCCATGCCATTGCTACAAAATCCTACAAAAAATAGATTTGGCTGTTTTCGGCATACTCCTAGCATTTAGATCCAGGATCTCCCAGAATTTCACACAGTTATTAAAATGCATTGGAGACAAGATGGATCCAAAGAGGATATCACATCATAGCTTCAAAAGAAACCAACTGAAATCTACCTGAGCTAAAGGAATGGACTACTGCAAAACAATGTCACCTATTCCCAAATTGCTAGTACTGGAAACCCTCTTGAGAGATAGAAACAAACAAAGACTGGAAAGTCTTCATCTTGCATTTTAAATAGTACCACTGCAATTCTATATATGACAACTATAGAGAGATAGCGCCTATGGAGGAGAAGCCAGTGTTATGGACTATAGTGAAAGGACAGATTCCCAGGAAGGAGGGAGCCCATTCCAGAAAGAGGGTCAAGACAAGAGGCAGCACAGCCAGAGGAAGATGATGGATAGGAGATGGGGAAGAGAATTAAGAGCAGTAACAGGTTAATCTGGCAAGATTCTGTCTATTGTGTGGCAGCAATTAAAGAACTAAACTGTGCCTGAATTGTTCTATGTCATTCTTGGCCTTAGCCTGACACATCTTTTTTAAAAAAACCCACTGATTTCCATTATGCTCAGAAACATGTATGTATGTATATATAATACCGAAACCTAATGCTGGATTACATATTGCTTTAACTATGACTTTTTTTAATAAACAGCAGTGGCTGTGATTACACATCACATAAATCATAGGATTTCAAAAGCAGTGGCTGGATTCATACAACATACTAAACCAAAACCAAACAAATATGCTGAAGGTTTAATACAAAGTGTGAAGCCATCTACAAGCTTTTTCATTTAAGGAGACCTTGAACCATACAACAGCCTGTTGAGGACATGAGCTATCCTAAGTACATTATCTCCCCTACAGGCTTCTCTCACCTACAATGAACTGAAAATTGTCTCTCTGACTTTTGTCTGTTTCTGGAGAACACAAGGGGAATGGGAGGCAGCTGGCAGGAAGCTATTCCTCCAACTGACAGACAAAGGTCAGAAGAAATACACAAACAGATGGGGCTTCCAACTGTGAGGCAGGGGGACTGAAGAAAAACTTGACTACAATGGCCCATGACCTGTTACACAATTTCACTACTGCTCCTGTCAAGGGAGCTACCAATATAATGTTTTGACATGTCTAGCAGTAAACATTTATCATAAACATTTCCCAACTTGATTCTTGCCTGCTAAAGTCCCGGCCAAGGAATACAGAAGTACTATATTCAATTAGCTAACATAAAATCCTTATTTTTTAAAAAAAATATACACCTACCAATCATCATTATCATCCTGGAGAAAAACTTATATTGATATTGACTTGATACATAAACAAAACATCGATCATGGACCATGAATTCAACATTTAACATTGTCTAGTTACTCTTGATAACTGCAATGATTCCAATTTCTTGAGACCTCAATAACACAATTGTTTTAGCTAGGGCCCTAAGAGCCACTGAGATCAAAGGATATATAGAGGAGCGCTCATCTGGGCTAGCTAAAACCTCAGTATATTCATGATTATTGTTACGATGGACTCTTGAATTTGAAAATCTTTTATACAGCTTTTTTCAGATTTGGGTTAATCCTTACCATCTCACAGGAATCCAATCAGCCAATTAATCCTATACACAGCCAATTAATCCTATACACAGACATCCAATCAGCCAATTAATTACACTTACAAGAGTAGCTTATCCAGATGGAGGTTGCCCTTCTGTTTGATTCAGTTGCCCAGTGGTAATTATTTAATTATTGCCATGGATGTTCACCTGTTATGTTATAATATTTCATCTTAGGGCACCTGTGTTGCTGAAGCTAATTTATCTTCTTGGTTAATTGCTAGCTAACCTTGCCAAGATCCTCAAAGAAATAATATGGAAAGGGGGAAAAAACCTGGGCAGTATCTGAAAGTTTTTTATACGCTTCAGTAGCACAGAATCAATGGAGCTTATCCTGTATTTTCCACCTAGGAGGAAGACTAAAGCTGTTCACATCACCTGTTCAAGGGACTGATTGCTACATTCA